GGTTTATTGCCAAGTAGGTTGCCACGGTCTATTGCTGCATAAATAACATTTATATAAAATAAAAGCAAGTACTGTACCCGCAACTTTACTGTACACTAACAATGTAATGTCTAATAATAACAATAATACTACCAAGATGGCGCCGCTCAGGGCAGCTGTGGTATCGTGTCATCAGTGGAATTATTGAACATTCTGGTCAAGGCTTCACTCTCTGCTGTTCATGCGGTGAGATGCCGGAGGGGGAGAAGGTCCGGTACGCTGGTGCGACTACACTGAAGAGGACTCCGCACGCCGCTACTGGGAATATTTCTCTCCAACGTGCGCTCACTGTGCAACAAACTGGATGAACTTCGTCTACTGGTGGGGAAAAACTGAGACTTTTATTCATCTTCTGTTCTGTGCCTCACGGAGATGTGGCTGTGTGGATCAATACCGGACTCCGCGCTGCAGCTGGCTTCCAACTCTACGGAGCGGACGGCAACACGAAACTCTCCGGCAAAACAAAAAGGTAGGGGTATCTGGTTTTACATTAACAGTGGATGGTGTAACAATGTGTCAGTAATTCAGCAACTGTTCTCATGACCTGGAATATTTACCGATACACTGTAAACCATTCTACTCTCCCCGAGAGTTTGCTAGCTACTTTCTGTCTAAGCGCACGCTGGTCGACCAGATACTGTGGGTAGAGCGGACATTCCCGGACTCCTTAGTTATTTTTCTTGGTGACTTTAACAAAGGAAACCTCAGCCAAGAACTCCCCAAATACAGACAGTTTATGAAGTGTCCAACCAGAGAGGGGAACACTTTGGATCACTGCTACACCACAGTTAGCAGTGCCTATCACGGCGTCACTGCGCTCCACTGGGACACTCTGATCACACCATGGTTCACTTGATTTCTGCTTACAGGAAAAAACTAAAACTTTGTAAACCTCGAGTGAGGACAGGAAATGGACCAGTGAAGCTGTTGAGGACCTCCAGGTGTGTTTGGACTGCACTGACTGGGATGTTTTCAGGACTGCTACCAACAATCTGGATGAGTTTACAGAGGCTGTGACGTCCTACATCAGCTTCTGAGAGGACAGCTGCATATCAACGCGCACCAGGGTGAGTTATAACAATGACAAACCCTGGTTCACAGCTAAGCTCAGACAGCTGAGGTTGGAAAAGGAAGAGGCGTTTAGGAGTGGAGACCAGGCCAGGTGGTTTAAGGAGTCAAAGTGGGCCTTTATGGAAGACAGAACGTAGGCTAGTCCTCACAAGACTTTCAGTCACTGAACATTTAATGTTTCGTCATGTTGTCGTCTCCTGTCTGTGTTGAGAAAATGTTGCCAGGTGTAAAACACTAACATAACATCAGGAGGCTTATAGACTTGCAGGACTATAGGACTATATTCATACACTGAGCCTAAGTGCTCAGTTGGAAACTAACATTCACACTCACTCGGGGTTCAGTATCTTGCCCAAGGACACTTCGACACGCAACCAGGGGGAGCCAGGGATTGAACCGCCGACCTTCCGATTATCGGCCAACCCGCTCTACCTCCTGAGCCACAGCCGCCCCCAATTAACTGCATTTCAGTTAACGCTGCACTCAATTTCTTTCTATCATTCTCTGCCAGGAAGAAGCCATTACTCCAAAAGAAACAAATGCAAATGCACACAGGCACAAAGACACATGTCCAAAGAGACATGTCCTGTGGTCTGATGAAACTAAAATCGAATTGTTTGGCCATAATAGCCCCTTTTCCACTGCACGGTACCAGCTTGACTCGGCTCGACTCGCCTTTGTTTGGTTTTCCATTGCAGAAAAGTTTTACCCGTACCTGCTTCCAGGTACTTTTTTTCAAATCACCTCCGTCGAGGTTCCAAGCAAGCTGAGGGATACTAAAATGTGACGTGAAAACACAGCAGACTGCCACTTGGTCAGAGAGAATCGTCACTATTCACTGTGTCATCATTGCGTGCGCCAGACAGAGGCCAGCAGCATAAAGTTTTATATTTTAAAGTTTTCGTATATAATTCCATCACTAAATCCACTTCTGAGAAGTTTTGAGGTGAGAAATCAGCTGTGTAGATTTCGAATATTGACAGTTTTACGAGAAGTGATGGCGGAACAAAAGTGTGCTTTAAAGTTTTGGGAGTTGAGGAGCTCAGAAACTGGCGGCGGGGGAAGCCTGCCAGCTTGTGAGGCCGGCCAGCCGCCCGCTCAGAGCCCTCTGCTCCCGCCGTCACACAGACCGCTGCAGCAACAACGGCAGAGGAAAACACAGCTGGAAGGTTTTCATACCGCTTATCTGTCTTTACATTCTGACAAATGTTGAAACGCTATAAAAAAGAGGAAACTGTGTGGATCGCTGGTGTGAGTGTTGCATTGAACATTACGTCGCTATGACGACCAGCTACATTGAGGGGTGCTATCTCTGGGTACTATCTTCAATTTCAATTTTCAATTTTATTTATATAGCGCCAAATCACAACAACAGTTATCTCACAGCGCTTTTCATAAAAGAGCAGGTCTAGACCGTACTCTGTGATGATATTTACAGAAGCCCAACAGTTCCCACCAAGAGCAGCACTAGGCGACAGAGGCAAGGAAAAACTTCCTTTTAAGAGGCAGAAACCTCGAGCAGAACCATGGCTCAGGGTGGGCGGCCATCTGCCTCGACCGGTATCTGCAATGGAAAACAGAGCACGGACAAACCGAGGCGAGTCGAGCTGGTACTGGTAATGGAAAAGCGGCTAATGATCATCGTTACGTTTGGAAGAAAAAGGGGGAAGCTTGCAAGCCTGAGAACACCATCCCAACTTTGAAATAGGGGGGTGGCAGCATCATGTTGTGGGGTTGTTTTGCTGCAGGAGGGACTGGTGCACTTCACAAAATAGATGGCATCATGAGGAAAGACCATTATGTGGAAATACTGAAGCAACATCTCAAGACATCAGCCAGGAAGTTAAAGCTTGGGTGCAAATGGGTCTTCCAAATGGACAATGATACTGCCAAGCTGGTTCCAAAATGGCTTAAGGATAAAGTCAATGTCTTGGCTATCACAAAGCCCTGATCTCAATCCTATTGAAAATGTATGGGCAGTGCTGAAAAGGCATGTGCGAGCAAGGCGGCCTACAAACTTGGCTCAGTTACACCAGTTCTGTCAGGAGGAATGGGCCAAATTCCTGCCAACTATTGTGAGAAGCTTGTGGAACGATATCAAAAACGTTTGACCCAAGTCATACAGTTTAAAGGCAATGGTACCAAATACGAATGAAATGTATGTAAACTTCTGACTTGACGAAAGTAATAAAAAAAAAAAGGGTCTAAAAAAAATCCTTCTCTCATTATTCTGGCATTTAGCAAATATAAATATAAAATAAAAACAGACAGTGAGGAAAAAAGCACATGTGTCTTTCTATATAGTGTATGTAAACTTCTGGTTTCAACTGTATATATATCATATTTGGGCTGATCTGAAGCAGTTGGTTACCTGAGCGATCTTACAGATCTTAAGAAAATATCCGAATATCTTTATCAAGGGTTTTTTTGAGGCAACGGCCAGGGGCCAACCTCCTCTCCCTCGCCCTGTACGCTCCAGTGCCCTGCTCCCCCTCCGTTCACTCTACTATGGGTTGTGTTGGTCGTTACCTGATCTTAAAAACCAGAGGATTCTCAGGAAAGCGTTCCTGTTCCAGTTGCTAGTCAGTTACAAACTGAACATTGAGCCAATATTATATAGCTGCAGCCTCCGGTACTACAGCGATATAATATTGTCCTGTTTTTCTAACTAAAAACCCGCTTACATTGATGTTCAAGCTCATCTTAATTACATTTAATCAGGCACCGCCATCCCCCAAGTGTATCTGCTGCAAGTTTATCAAGTATAAAACACAAAGCTACACAAATCGGACTCGTTAAATATCAAAATCAATATTTTTGGTTTTGGTTTTAAAACAGAAAAACTAAAAAGACGACTTGTTTTTTTGTTTTTTCCAATTCGGTTTTGGAAGGCAATAATAAACGAACGAATGTTTTGAAAAATGATTGTCATCATAATTGTTATTAATTCCTCAGATTTGTGAAGTGATCCACCGTTTGGCATAAAGTGTATGTCATGTTCTAATCATAAAGAAATTTTCTCTCAGGAGCAAAAATCAGCCTTTAAACTAGAAAGAAATAATAATTTGACATTTATCGTGATATTTATCGATATCAAATGGTATGAAAGATCTTTTCACACATTGCTAAAGTTGGTCTAACATGTTGCAGAATTGTATGCAGTATACGAATGCAGCCCTTCAGTATCTAGTCATGTCTTGAAGAGAAATTATATTCTGAAGAGAAAAATCATCATTATTCAGTTAATTCAGTCATTTAAGTATTAGTTCACAAGCAGAGGGGTGAAAACATGGATATACCAAAACTGTTAACTGTAACACTTCGTCATTGTATACACTGAACTTCAGATTAGTGACAGAGTCGGCCGGCCGACATCTGCCATTTTGAGATAATTAATCAGCCGATTCCTGAACTCACAAGGCTGAAGGCTGAAAAAACATGTCAGCGGACACATATATTCTCTTACTCTTCTGTTTCATTAATGAATAAAACACCACGTTACTGGCTGAGATAACATGTATGTTAGATTGTACTCTGCATGGAATAATGGAACTATATATGACTTTTCTTAGTTTGATTTACCCTGCTTACAAAATATCGTCAGCGGTCTTTTTAAGTGGGATACTTTCAGAATCTAGCCGTCTCTTGCTAGTTTCTCCAAGATTAACTACCGTAGGTCTGATGAAGGATTTATAGCAGAAGTAATTTAGCATGTAATAACACCAAACATTTGCTGGTTGTTGTTGGATAATATATTGTTATTAATTATTATTATTATGCATTTTGTAGACTTATGAATTAAAATATTCAATCGATTATTTCATAATGATGATCAAATGAGTTTTCGGGTGGCTATATGTAACTATAAGTAGTGTGTTGGTGAGACTCACTGGTGACCTCCTGCAGGAAGTCCAGACAGGGCCGGCTGATCCCAGACATGCTAACAGATACAGCTACGGGTGTCTGGCCCTCGTAGTTCCTCGTATTGGTATCAGCTCCGTACATGTAGAGCATCTGGGCGCACAACACATCGTCCCTGAGGGCTGACAGGTGCAGGGGGGTTTGGCCGTCTTCAAGACGTCCGAGATTAGTGTCCGCTCCCCTTTGCAGGAACATGCGGCAGTAGGAGTGATTGCCTTTGATGACAGCATATCGGAGCAGGAAGCCATTTTGAATGTCAATGTTGGCGCTGTGGTCCAGGAGGATCCGTACACAACTGGAGCGTTCACGGATGATGGCCAACTGTAGTGGTGTGGTCCCTTTGTCACTCAGCGGGTCCACCTCGGCCCTGAACTCGAGGAGGAGGCGCACAAATGAGTCTCGTCCGTAGTGGGCAGCCACGTGCAGTGGCGTCCAGCCATCGTTGCTTTTTGCATTTATAATGTCGCTGCGAAACTCAGATTCTAGCATCAACCGGGCGATGCGTGCTCTGCCGTGCATAGCAGCATAGTGAAGTGCTGTGAAGCCACCAATAAAGTCCTTCACTGTGGGGTCAGCTGCACAGAGGAGAGTGGAAATGAGAGGAAAGTCAAATACAACAGGAGTTTGTGGCTGTGGGTGAAATGATCTTTGATCAGCTGGATGGCTACAGTCCACCTAAACCTAATCTAACACAAGAACCTCTTTACCGGTTCACACTAACTGTCCTAATGTTTATTGCCCTCTAGCTGTTCTACTTCAGGTAAACTATTAAGACTTCAGGATTCTGACACGTACAGTGCATTGGAGTTTAGACACATCTAGACATTATGGCTAGGCAAAAGATTTCATCAATGTAAACCTTTGAACCTCTTTCAACTGTTCATATCAGTTTTAAATGTATTACACGATTTAAGAACAAAAGACAGAACAACAGTTTCACACACTAGTAACATTTTCCAGGACATTCATGTATCATTCCAAGATATCCAACCATGACAATTTTACTAGCTGATAATATGTCAGTGTTAGGATTGCAGTTTTTTGTGCTGCATCTGAGAGACCAAAGCTGGACTGCTGACTTTAAAAGTTGAATAATACCCAGAATGTAGGAAAGACGTGGAACATTTTGATATCTGAATGGAGTTTCTATCTGAAATTCTGAATTAGTAGGTAAGAGTTGTCCATTCATTTGAGTGCAGAAAATACCCCGGAAAACCTGGAATATTTTGTAAAGTATGAAAGGAATGAATGAGAAAAGCATTCTCCCCACCTCCCCATTAGTATTATTATATTATTTTGTATACTTGTACATTTTTGATCTCTTTACTTTATCTATATTTATATTTTTTATCTTTATATTCTAAAGCGAAAGTGAACCTGGCAATAAACTTCATTCTGATTCTGATTGAGCTGAACATTTTAAAAAAATAAATTTGTTCCCAATGTGGAAGGAGTTGAGTGCCAAAATAAAGCGGTGGAAAAATACAAATAATGACAAACATGGCTGCCTCATGACAGCTTAAGTCTGTCTTTAAGACAGACTAAAATTTAAGTTGTAAACAAGATGATGAATATTTTTAATTGTTGTTATATTTAATGTAACTTTAAATGCTTCTCACAGTATCATATGTATACAACTACATTTATAGATGATATAGTAGTATATTTTCTTCACATGTAAGGCATTTATAAGGAATATTTGTCTGCTGTATAAATATAATGACCATATTTCCTTGCCATATGAACCTGTGTGAGACATGTAATTTATATATATATATTTTGTACTTTAATGGCTTTTAACATGGAGGTGAATCAATGGAGTTCTCTTCCAGTAAAATAACGCCCTCTAGTGTTTGGACAAAAAAACCCATGTCCTGGCATAATGCTAACCATCAAATGATGCCAAATTCAGTGACAAGACAAAAAAAAAACAACTCACCTCCATGCTCTAAAAAGACTCTAACACATCTCTCTTTTCCTTTGGCAGCAGAGAAGTGAAGCAGTGTCCAGCCGTTGGCATCGCGGATTTTAGGCGAGTATCCCTGCTCCAGCATTCTCCTGACAGTGCAGACATCCCCTGCTGCCACTGCCGCTTGGATCTGTAGCTCCTCATGAAGCTCAGGGTTCCTTCTGCAGTGATGGTTCAGCATCCTGTCACATTTCGTAATGGAAATGTTCACCTGTACCTAACCTCTGTTAGGAAAAACCATTGAATACATTCTGTATGTCTTGGAAAACTGGATGGGTGTATGCAGTGTGTCTGAAGTGAAGTTTCAGACTCTACTGTCAAGGGTCAGTGACCTAATGGCTATGTTACAAAGATGTTCTACAATCCAAAAAAAACATGTTTCACATACGTCAGAGCTATTTCAACTTAAACTGAACACTGTCTAATACACACCTGGGAGAATGAAGCCACATAAAATAATTAACACCTGACAGATGCTGAAGTACTGATAAAAATCTGATAACATATTGGCCACCATTTTTTATATCCATGCATAACATAAACAACTGGTTTTAAAAAAGAACCCTTAAATTTGGTTCTTAAAGAATTGTGACTTTAGGTTGACGAGCCGATACAGGCATATTTTAATGGATCAGTAACAGCTGAAACAAACCTGAACAAACCACCAATGGACGATAAATACATACATAAAATGATACTCAAAGAAATTGGCTTTAGCTTTCAGTTTTCTCATTTTCCAGTGCAGCCAACAATATAATTTTTAAGCAATATGGAACAATATACAGTTTGTTTGATCATGTTCGCCTACGTTAATCGTATCATAAAAACTAGGGATGGAATAGTTTATGCGACTATCATCTTGTCTTAAAATATATTTTCCTTTTGTGTGTTCAGATTCAGTGTGTTCAGTGAGAAGGATCCATCTGCAGCCGCCGTGTGAGGGACCTTGAAGGAAGTTGTTGACTGTTCAAAGACGTGTCCTGGTCACCACATAGATTTACACATCAGGTTAAGATAGGGCTAACGTAGCAGCAGCAAAGTTGTGCTGATGCGTATGAATATAAAGTTCTAGGGTTGAAAAAATGTAGTTCCTAAGCACAGCACTACAACGGTGTGTGGAGATAGGTCTGGCTACACGGTACCAGCTAGAAGCCAGGCAAGTCTTCAAAGTCAAATATTTTCGAGTAGGGTTGGGCGATGTCTACAATGTCTTCAGTGACACATCGGGATGGACAATGGCAATGTGTGTAACACACGTCTGTCGGTGGGGGGTTAGCAGTAATCTTATAAAAGGTATGCGTTTCAGACATAGACTTCATTTGGTAAAAAACATGGTATTAAGTTATAAGATAAGGACACTGTGGATATTTTACAAGCACAGACCAAGTAAAGCAGCAGTGAACACAAAGAGTGCAGATGTTGGTTTTGGGTTTTTGATAGGCTACGTTATTAATAAGCCGGCATGGAGCTCACCTGCCATGATAATGGATCGCGGGTGGAAAACTCTTGGGGAAAAACGAGTTCTGTATCTTTTCCGCGACTTTATAATAAATCAAACTGCTTGAAACGGCCATTCCTAGTAAAGATACATTATATCCTTATAATGAACTCTATGATGTTCAAGTTATGTTAAAGACCTCCAATTCAGTGGTCTCTAGTGGCATTTGGGTAATTTGTACAGCACATATCAGTCGGGTTTTAGAATTTGGCACATATACTTTTCACGTTTGAATACAAACACAAAGAAAATGCCCTTTCAGGAAACACGTAATTTTGTTCCAGACAACACAGGTTTAACTTCTCTAATTTCATATCGTCTGATCATGGCTACTTGAGATCACCGATTGGCGATCTGATCACCAGGCGGTGTTACGTTGCAGCACGTCAATGAAATGCCAGCATGGAAGAAATAGACTTATTAGCTTTAGGAGAAACCACCAGAAACATCTGTAAAAGCAACGCATTCAATAGCAGCTATGTACAGCTTGCTAACCTCGACAAACCAGGGCTGTCGTGATTACCGCAAAATTGAGATACTGCCTACCACGGAGAATGGCAAGCACCGCAACAACCGCAATGTTCATATTTTCCACTTCAGGGTGTGTTAAATTAATAAATTAATGCTTTAAAAGTTCCACAACCGTAATGAGCTCTGTAACAGTCCAAGGACGGATCGCCATGGGCTGTTACGTGACCTGACTTCAAACTTGGAAACTGTAACCGTATTTTGTGTTGTTGTACTGTTGTTGTAGCTAATTTGGTTAGCATATTGCGTGGCTTATGTGGCTAGCAGGCTCGGCGATGTTGGATTAATGATGTGATATTGAGGGACAGTCGAGGGAAACCGTTAACGGTAAGCCTCATTTGAAGCTCACTAAATAACGCGTGTATAGTGTCGGATGCCTGCAGCTGTTTTTCATGTTGCTTTATGTGGAAATTTAGTTATAACGTTACTAAAGCGCAGTGGTTAGTTGTGGACACGGTATGTTAATTGACTTGATAGACATGCCCTGAAGGTAACGATATAGCTAACATTACGTGTGAAAACGACACGGTCAAACTACAAAAATGAGTTTGCTTGGCAATGTTGTTGACTAGCACCCAGCAGCTAGCTTGCTCCGACCATAAAGCTGTTGTTAGCGGCTCGCTGTAAAGTGAGGTGACAGACACAGACACTCTTACTAAGTTATGGCACCAAATTACTTCAATGATGAAAACTGTGATAATACCGCATAGTTTTGAGCCACAACAAATTACCGCGGGTGAAATTACTTCACTGCAACAGCCCTACGACAACCCAGCTGTATTCTAACGTTTACATAGCTATCGTTATTAGTTCGGCTCCTTATATGCTTGCTTAACTAATTTGAAGGTGGCTCTCCAACATTGACAGTGTTGTGTTAAGAAAATAGACTAACTTCTCAGAGTTAACTTCAATGCATTCGTTTTTCTATAACACACTGCTCCATTTCAATGTGAGTGTGTGTGTGTGTGTGTGAGAGAGCGCACGCGCAGAGGTACTGAGTGAATCAACGGCTCCACAATGATTTATGATTTTAAATCATTAAAATAAATCAGTGAACGGGAAACACTGCAGTGTGGTACAGATTCTAGAGACTGTTTTTATGTCATCTTAGTTCTAACAGTGAATAAGTTAAAATTGCCTTAATATTGGCGCATGAAAAACCAATAGCTGATCACACCTTCAATTGCCAATCGGAACAACCCTGACTTAAATGATAATTTCAGTTTTTTAAATCTGTATCTTCCCCCCCCCCCCCCCACATATTTTGAGATTGAAACAACAAATAGGTAAAAAAAAGTTTTGGAATCCATGCGATAGATGGCTTGCTCAAGGACAATTCTTGCTCTGAAATCTTGTGAGAGAATAGCTGCCCATCAAAATGGAGTCCACAAAAAGTGCTTCTTTCTTCCAGTGACTGTTATACCAGGTGTCTGACAACATCATGGAAAGTATCCCTACGACTGACTCCGGGTGACAGCCTTCGTTTTTAATAGGAAAGTCTCCTTAAGGAAAATTTTTGTTCTGTAATCTCGTGAGAGGCGAGTTGTTGTGGGAAACACCAGTGGAAACAAAGGAGAAGAGTTTGTTGTGTACGTAAAGGGGCAGCTAGTAAGACGTTGTTTTTAACAGTGCTCCAACACAACAAACTCCTCTCTCCAACTCTGACTCACGTTTCCACCAGCGTTTGCATCAGCAACTTGCCTCTCACGAGATTTCAGAGCAAGAATTGTCCTTGAGCAAGACTTTACCTACTTGTCATTTCAACACCAAAATATGTGAAAATAGCAATATTATTCTTTAAAATGTAAATATACTAATGACACAGAAACAGCCCTGGGAAGTTAATTCCTTTTGTTGAGAGAAATTACTAATTTTGTTCAAAAATTTTGAACTTCTCTTGTTGCCCACCCTAAATTAAAAGGGTGGCGTGATAAAAAACAAAGTATACCTTTTGACAAGCTGCAGAGAGGAGCTTCTCTTAGTCATATCGGAGCTGCACCTGGAAACATAGGATGGCTCTCTTCAATAGTTTTTCCTGCAACACACACACAAACAAACAAACAACACAGTCACTGATCAGATTATAATCTTTAATTGGTACATCTCATCCAATTAATATCACAGAACAGTATCTATTTGTAATGGGCAATACAAATAACAAGACTGTCAAATGGGAAGAATGTTGCAAATGCACATCTTACTAATAGAAATACCTCAGGTTTCAAATGAGCTAACGTCTTGTTAAAAAAAAATGACTAAGACGTGGCAACAAGGCAGAAAACTCTGCAGCAGTCCCGTTCGCCTAATTAAACACTCAGATTTATAGTTGGTTAGCTTAACCGGCTGATGAAACAACAATGGACAATAGAGTGGCTTTATTTGCTAACATAACTAACAATGTTAATCATGCACAAGTAAACAATAACGATAACTAACTAAACCAGAGGGAGCCAGATGAAGACCATACGTTTCACACGTTGAAGAAAATGTAACCAAACCGAGATTCTTAGACAAAACTTTGGTTTAGGGCTACATTTATCCCAGGACGTTAGCTAGCGCTGCTTAGCCAGCAAGCTAACAAGCTCACTAGCGATAGCTCGCTAGATTGCGTTGACTTTTTGGACTTGCATTGTTGGGTAACGTTACGCATAAACCCCAACACATTGGGTGCATCGATATTAAAGTTGGTTCTACATCTTTACTGACAAACACAACAGCGCTGCTGCTATAAAACAAAGACTTACTTACAGACACTGAGCCCGACGTTTAATTAAGCCAATCAGCTTCCAGACGGGACGAATTGGAGTTGTCAGAGCTGTGTATTTCTGACCCTTTCTACTCATAGCCAACACTTAACTACAATATTGTCTATTAAACTTCCCTAAATGTCAGTCTCAGCAGTGTTGGGCATCATTTCGCTGTTTAACAATCAGCTCTCTCTGTGAACATATCAGTGTGACCCCAGCAGCAAAAACAATTACACTTCCGCCTGAGTTCCACAATAAAAGCACAATTTCCTCAACTCTAAACGGACAACGGCAGATGTTCTCAAAGTCTGCCCCCGCCCCCACTTCATTGTTTCTGACCCAATGGTATCCCCGAACTTCCTATTTAACCAAATCACACACCCTTAGGATATTCTACGTTAAGGTGACCGTATTTTGGTTTTCAAAAAAAGGACAGTGGGGGCAGGAGGCAGACAGACACCCGCAGTAGGTGTCATTTACTTATTTATTCACTGTGGACGCTGGGGACATGTCCCCAGCACATTTTGAAATGGCTGATTTTGTCCCCATCACTTTTTTTAACAAATAAAAATGCTTTAAAAAAGATTTATTTGCACAATAAGAAAACATGCAATGGAATTTAAATATAGAAGAAACAAATGTGGATTGTCTAAAAAAAGTAACTTAAGCTAAAAAAAAAAACAAGCAACTGATTACTGCTTTATATTCTGTTATATTTTTATATTTATGAATTTGTCACCTGCCAGCTGAATTTTTTGTTTCTCTTTATATAAATAAAGACATTTCCACCGTAAATTGGAGCATAAAATGCAGGAAATTAAGTGTTTAATGCTCAAAATCTTCTGGGGCAGGACACCCAGACCCCCACTCACACACACTATATTTCAGCATTTCATATTTCTTCAAAATAGTGTTAGAAATCTTCTAGTCTTGTTCTCATGCATCGTCATATCTCGTGACCTAACTGTATCATCATGACCCTAATCTTAGCCCTTATGTCCTCACCATTTTTCAGCACAAAGTGATGACTGTGGCAATGTGTACTGGGGGTGGCAAAACGAGCAAATATTCATTCACTAGTACTAGTATGTACTAATATTTTAACAATAAATTAAAAGTTTAATGTTTGTATAATACTAATATATTTATAGGTTACACTTTATTTGGATAATGTCTGCATACAGATAGTTAAAAGTATAGGCCTATTTGTAAGATTTCAACAGCTTTTTGATAACAATTCTAATGATTCACCGTTTTCTGTCTTGTTAAGATTTGATTAAGACTAATATTGTCCTCTTTTTGGAAGTTAAAAAATGCGTCCGGCTTGGACTCTAAATCGCCCAAAATTTCCAGATTCGGCTTTTGCTTTCTATAATAGCCAATGATTGTGTGCATTTTTGCTGATGCGTACCTGTCAGTGTCAAATAAAACTGCTAGCAATCTAATAGACCACATGTAGGCCCTATTAAAGTTCAATGACATAGTTGCCCCCCATTCACATTGCCACAGTGCCACCAGTTACTTGAACCCCACTACCCCGAACCTTGCACCTACTGCGGGTGTCTGTTTGCGTCCTGCCCTCACTGTCCTCTTTTTTGAAAACCAAAATATGGTCACCCTAGTTCTGCTATACATGTTTTCAATTAGCTACTAGTTTTGCCCACATATCATTTCCATGAGACAAATTACTGCTTTAATATGGACAGATGTATCACCCCGCAAAGCAGCTGGGCCAGACTCTGTCTCCCCATCAGATATTTATATACATTATTCACTAATGTCCAGACTTCCTTAGAAGTTTTGTCTTTTGATGATTTTAAGATCAAATATGATTTTAACTTTGTCTCAGAGAATATTTAGATAAAGCATTGCCTTTCTAATTGTAATTCGTGACACAGCACAGTTCTCTCCGGCAAACTTAAGGCCCCACTCACGCGCTGTTACAATTAATAAAATGCTGAATTAAAAAAAAAGCAGTCATAATATTTAATGCTCCCAGCGCCAAGCGCTGTGAGATAACTGTTGTTGTGATTTGGCGCTATATAAATAAAACTGAATTGAATTGAATACCAAAATGTTGTGGTTTCAAATCCACAGCTAGATTTCTTTGAAGCCAGATATAGTAACATTCCATGTGTTATTGTATAAGTAAGCACATCGTGAGCAATGTGCAATCCAGAGTCAAATTCCTTGTATATGTGTACACATACCTGGCAATAAAGCTGATTCTGAAAAGTCACTCTACATCCACTCAACAATCAGAATCAAGTTGGAACAAACTGTTTAATTGAACCACATCTTAACTGTGGCTAAATACCACAACCACTGTTCCAAATGGAAGTCCAGTCCCCAATCTCTCAAAATTGCCTTTTTAAACATTGTTGTGTTTACAAACTTGTTGCAGCTGATTGGGTAACACCTGTGACACGCCCACCAAACAGAAGAAAACATAACTGAAAGCCCGTTACGGAACGTTTCAAGGAAACATGTTGTTGCAAACCGGTTTGAGATTGAACTGTTTTGGATTTTTTTGAGATTGAAGTTGCCCCAGGCTATGGCAAGTGTAGTTAGGTCAGTAGTTGACATTACACGGGGCTGTAATAAACAAAAGTAGCCTATGGGCTGCAAACCAGAAACAAAACCAGTCGCATGGACCTGAGGGCCATTGATCTTAGAAAAATGGAGAGAGGTCCTCAGGAATGTGTTTCAAATGGGCAAGCTGCTACTAGCCATGTCCCCTCATGTTATGGGAATATCCCGCAAGACGTCAACAGCGGAAACAGCTGATCAGTCGTGAGTTACAAATTTGCTACGTCAGAACTTATTCGGCAGAAGTGTTTCCATCTCCCATGGTAACTCTTTTTTTGACAAAGCTACCAGTGCCCACCAACATGACATCACTCCGGCAGACAGTAAAGGTGTGAGTTTTAGGCGGCTTGATTACTGTTACGGCTGCCGCCAGCACCCGTCTGTAATTTACCTGTGCTTAAGAGTATCTGTTATGCTGAGCAGGCTGTGCCAAACCGTGCTGAGGATTGGCTGTACGACGAGGGAAGGTCCCGCCTACTTCCTGGGTTCCTGTGAACACGACGCCGCTTGGTGCAGCATGCTTCCGCCGGCCAATCAAGGAGCGCCAGTGAAAACCACCACCTGTTTAAAAGCCTGCTGGGTCTGCCGTTTGGGGCAGCTATCAAACCTGATTTGCTTGCCTCGGCGACACACGTCTCAGAGCTTGATGTATTTAGTGTTTTTGTTAGTCTTGGCAGACATTGAGTACGTGATTGAGTAAATTGTGCAAAGGAAGTGGGCCAGGCTTAAGGTTCAAAAACTGATACCATTCTTGCACCCACAGTAGTTGTGTTTTATGTTAGTTTCCACTAGGTTCAGGGGTGCTGTGCGCTTTGTGATTTGGTTTTTGCAAACACTTCAGTTAGATCTTTTTGGTTTACCCCTTTTTTTTCTCCCCTGTAGTTAGAGTAGTAATCCTCTTGAGGACCTCTTTTTGTTATAATTGTTTGTTGATTTCCACAGCACCCATTGGTCCATTTTCTGTTTGTGAGCTTTTGGACAAATAAACACCCGTAGTCGGTCTGGATTATGCTCTGACAATTACACCGTTTACCCGCGGGAGGAGCTCAGAGTTAACTGCTTTTATTAAATTAGCTTTTTACTTTAGTTTTTGGGATTACAACTTGTTTTATCTTGACTTCCGCTTCTCGGCAGCTAGCTTCCGTGCACATTTGGTTCCACTGTTGTTGTTAGCGTCAGATGGCATCAGAGTTTTGCTTTAGTTTAAGAAAATAATGATCCCCATCGAGGGAGGTCACAGATTTTAAGTTTTTAAGTTGTGAAGATTGTTTTATTCTTAATCACAATCCATTTGTTGCTTCTCGAAATTCTAGCACATTTTTCCAAAATTATACTTTAAAGTTTGTTCAATTTGCCGGCAAACATGACAAAGATCAGAAAGGTCAACAAGATACTGACGGAGCGGTGTCATTAACTGAAGTTAATGTCGCCTAGTGCTTGCTCTTGGTGGGAATTGTTGGGTATTGTAAATAACATCACTCTGAGATAATTGTTGTTGTGATTTAGAGCTATTAGCATTATTGAAACATACAGAGGTGGCCAAATAGAAACCTGCTGCCATCCGATAGAAAGGAAAAACTCTTTAAAAATAGACTAAACTAAATATGGCACTATTTTCTCAAGGAACAACCACTTAGTTTTTTTATAAAGGGGACTGTGGCCAAACTCCCCTTAACGGGGATGCGTTTACTAAAAGCATTGTTGCTAACTATGGTAGCAACTTCCTTTGTTCCTTTTACCGGAACTATGCAGTTGCAACGCAACTGTTTCCCAAAACCCTACTTCAAACTAATGTTCTAAGGTAATTAAGTTGGTAACTTACATGGTACGAATCATCGATAAGCGATGCAGGTGTTTCCCGAAACCATAGTTCTGACTAACGTTTGCAACCACAGTTTGAACTACAGCTCCTGACCTGTGGTTAGAAGCTTAGTTCACAGTGACTATGTCACAGATAGCAGAAAATGCAGTGTTAGGAGATGGATGTAATGTGTCTAAGCAGGGAATGTTAGATAATCCTGCTGTAAAAACATATTTCAGGTGAAGTTTTTTAAAAATGTAGTTGTAAAAGTTATTTTAAACATTTTTGTCAGGTCATGGGTAGGGTTGCATTGATTCAGTACTAAGTAACTTAGTGTAGACCATCTATTAACAGCAGGTGTTTTTCTCAGAGATCTGTTCACAATAACTTAATTTAATATTAGTCACACAGTACAAAGGTTAAAGGACAAAACAGAGAATGTAAAGACAAGACTCATAATATTACCTTCATGTGTACATTTCTAGGCCTATGAGGAAGATGGGTGTTCTCTAGTCTTCATTATTAACAAATATAAAAGGGACAGCATAAGATTACTGTAAAGTACTGTAATAAATAAATCCCTGAGAGCTTTTGTTGCCATTATAACAAAGATAGAGAATTCACGGGACTCGACCCCGTGTCTATCTCAACAGAGAAAATTTACAAGTCCAGACATATATCACACTGAGCTATTCTCAAGACCTTTATAGAGTTATTTGTGGCCAAGGGATTCATAATAGTGTTAAAGTGTTGAAATGAAGATACTTGCAGATCAAACCTATTTTACTAAATGTCATCGCTAATAGTTCTTATAGGCTAAATAAAATTATTAATTATATA